ACGAATAAATGATTGATTGATTAGCTGAAAATTCTGGTAGTGGCAGGATTAGTTACCCTTGCGGCTCAAACAACGGAGTGTTGACCGCCTGTCTCCTGGGAAACTAAGTTATGATTAGTGGCTTTTAGTAATTACCACTATCAGTACGGGAGGACACTGAAAAACAAAATAGCACAAGTTACAGACAACGAGCAGGTTTTAGAAACTTGATAGCTGTGAATTTTAAATATAACGCTGCCCGTGGTAGACCCTGTATTACACGTTTCACAAAACGCGGTTTACCCTTGTTTTATACATAATAAAGGGCTTTGTTCATTTATCTTCCTCACCTCACCCCCTGTAGAAGTCTTTAGGTCGTTCTAGTAAATCAACCTCTATTTTGCTAATTACTGTTGTAGAAATTTCATCGTGCTTAATTAACAGCATGTCAATAGAATTTCTTGTTGTCCAGGAATATTTAATAAAAATCAAAGAATTGCTGCGATTCGATATTAGTATCAATGTGGCTCAAATGCAATTCAAGCAAGTCGTCGCCTTAGTGAAGAATTCAATATTCATGCTGTTCAAGGCAGAAACATCAAATCACTAGTCAACAAATTAAAAATAAAAGGTTCTGTGAATGAACCACCTAAATCTGGACGCTTAATCACAGCAACATCAGATAAAAAAGAACAGCAGTTATTCGCTAGTCTAATCAACAGCCCCGACGCCTATCTCGTGATATTGAAATCACTCGCCAGTGTGTTCATAAATCATTGCGTAAAAGGAATTTTAAACCTTAAAGTCGTCGTTTGTTTCATGCTCTTCATGATGGAAATGCTAATCGAAGAGTTGAGTTATCATAGATGTTCTTGAATTGATGCGCCATGACAAAAATTTGACGTTCACCTGATTTATCTCCAATGGACTTTTTCTTATGCGGCGTTCTTAAAGACATGGCGTACCAAGAGAAACCGCAAACTATTCCTGACATTCGCGGATTTATTGCTGACAATTTGATATGGAACTATGCCAAAAGGCTTCTCACGGTGTTTGTACACATTAGTTTGTATTTAGGGTCACCATATTTTTTTGACTTCAATGTGGGACGCCTCCTGTAACTTTACAGTTTCCGAATTCACTAAATAGGCCTACATTTAAGCCATCTCGTCTGTCTTCATTGACGATATTGTCCTCGAGAGTTCATGCGCATATTCTCTGTCTAAATATCGGGTTCAGTTCAAAAATAGAAAGGAATAGACGCTAACGATCAGATGATCCGAATTTGGATTTTTTTATGTACAGCAAAAGGAATAAAGAATAATGAAATAGTCTGCCGTTTTCAAGCATTGGGAATTTACTTATTCGCCCAAACATGCTTTTCTGTAGATAACACCTTCAAAAAGACGTTGTTCAATGATACATTCACGTGAACGTCCGAACAGGACCAATTGGAATTGATTTTACATGTGATACGTTGGCTAACAATGTTAGCGGGAAACAACGAAGCAAACAAAATACCGCATTCACACCTTCAGTAAGTAGGATAGCGTTGCGCTACACAGCAACAACAGTAACGAGAACACGTTCGTGTATTATGCTGGATGGTTGAACTTAAAAGCGGGACTTTTGGCTGACTTGTCGGGGCGGCGGGACAAGACGCTAAAAAGCGGGACTGTCCCGCCTAAAGAGGGACGTATGGTAAGTCTATCTGTATTGAACAACAACGGGGAACAATTTGAACAGTGTGAATGACCTGATTGAACATCGTTGTAACCTAGTAATCATCTATCATACAATCACATGTATTTAAACTTACAATTCTTTGGATACCCGGTCTCATTTGTATCGAACTCACTGACAACAGATTTCATAAAACAGAAAACTATGCGGAACTCATAGCTCTAATAACAAGATCGGGTCGCTGATTATCACCGCATTCCAAGAACGCTTTCGAACGAAACGGTGTGTAGTATCCCACCACTACAAGCATAAATCTCAGCGTGCGAAGCTCATTTTTCTTTCAATAAAGGTTAGATGGAGATTTGAAACGTTAGTACATGTCTCACACCTGTGTCTTAGGCCAATAAGATGTTGAACATGTATCCCGTCTCTGTTATACTGTTTAATCATTATGCAGATACTGTTATCTTTTTTGAGGTAAATAAACATACATTCATATCATCTGGTTACCAGCGCACATCGAGAATAAGAATAATTAACCGATTATTTGCTACAGATGCATATAGACTTGACGGTGGAGGAAGTCGTGACTGAACCACCCTACGGTGGAGAGTAGTCCAGCAATCCTCGAACCTGCGAACCCACTCAAGGTAATCATAGGTGCGATGATATGCATATTCCTAACGCTTAGAACGATGCGTCAACAGCCTTGCGCATTAGTCAGTTAACTTTAATTTAAATAATAACATAACACTCTGGCCTCTGCTACCATAAAATACAAACACATTATTCCGCATTATTGCTTTATTTTTTCATTTAGAAAAGAAGTCAATCAATATATAGCTTCAAGTGATTGAGAGCTAATAATAGCATCAGGGATTATCCTACTTTTCTTCAATTAATAATATGAATATATTGTGGTACATTTTGAAAAAGCCAGTTCCAACAAAATTGTAGAAATGTATGAAAGTACAGTAAGTTATCCGAAGAGACCTGGGCAATTCAGTGTATAAGGCAATTTTTAATCAGGGAAAATAAACTTAGAAAAGAGATGGTGTTTAAATATAGTTTTGAGAATAATGCAAAGATAGTAGGAACACACGCGAATTGGAGGTGCCTGGAACAGCATCTGTGACAAATTCCTGTTACTTAGTAACGGCCATCTGAGAAGCAATAATGGCACGATAACCATACCAGGCCAGCCTCCTTATATGCCTAAGTGATCCAAAACACTATCCACAAAAGACCGTTGAAAGAGCGAATGTTACATTCCCCTCCAAAACAAATCTAACCTGATGCTTGTGGTGGCTCAAGAAATAGGATACACATTTAATAAAAAAAAAAAAAATACAAAAGACCGCAAAAAATGGAATAAAAATGATACAGAATTGAATGATAATAAAATTAATTTCAATATGTACAAAAAGATAAACTAAATTAAAATTGGAAAAATAAACGCTGCTTAGTAATTGAAAACAAGAAAACTTGAACAAATGTACAAAGAACCTAAACTATATCTCATTTATGGGAATTTTGGAGACAGTCGAGAGTTTCATTCCAGAAAACCAGACAGATTACAATTATATCTCAATAGGATTTTGTGCACCAATCAAGACATTGTAACATTATGCTCATCTTTTGGCGCTCCGGAAATATACGTACCAAGATGACACACAACCTGAACAACCCTAACCTGGTACACATACTATGTTCAGGTTGTGCGCCATCTTGGTAAGAATAATTCGGGAGTACCCATCTTTTACATATTCTACCATATTTCAATATTTAATTTAAAAAGAAAGCAAAAACTTCTTTTATGGTGTTTGGAGTCAGAACTGTATTGGAAGAACTATGTAAAAAGAAATGCAAGAACTGAAAATTGTTAGTTAATTCAGTTTCAACTCGATTATCAATTTCAGAGAGAGATGCTACCGTAATTCTCAGTGTCTAATATGTATTGGTGCGTACAAGGAGAAACACGATGTATATTCATTGAATCATTCGAATTTCTGAAAAAGTTAGGCATCGACCCAACAAATGACTGCAATAAAACTTGCATTAATTCGTGAAGCAGAGTGAAAACGTTCAAAACGAATTGAATCAAAATTAATTATATTTGATGTTTTAAATTTTTGAATTTAAAAATACTCGAAAGACCGTGTTTGGACCGCGATCCGTCAGTTGCGTAGCCCTGATATAAGACATGAATGATCCAAGATTTCAGTTTACATTGTAATAATTTCAATGAATGTAATCTAATTTTAAGACATTCTTTTCAGTATATATCGCAAAATAAGTTCTTTGGACACTTATAACCGTTAAACAATAATTTTCAATGTTTGAAAAAATGATCAAAATAAACTGCAACCTCGCAAGAAAAAAGTGCAAATTTTTTGTAAAATTAAAACGACACAGATGAATAAAGGCTAAATAAAAAAACAATTAACATATGTATTCTTATGGTAATCTGCATCAAGTGAACAAAGGGGTTCCAGACTCCATGAACTGTGTGGCATTTTGCAATAGAGATACCCAGCGTAAATATAAGTGACTGAGATAAAACAGGCCAAAAATGAAGCAAACAACAGAGGTGGAAAATATAGACATCACCTAGTGTAGTTGTGAATTTAGCTAGTTTGGCACTTTCGGTTTTTCCAATAACAGCAGTTCCTTACACAGCTTGTGCAGTGAATTATTTGGAGCAAGCAACTTTTAATACAGAAGAGCCAGATACAAATAACTGTGTGAAACCGTGAGCCAGACCTTTATTTAACATAAGCTTTCTAGTAGTCGCAAGCACATAAATTTTGGTTAATGATCTTACGACATGCGTTGTTCGCACAAGCTAGCTGTTGAAGGGATTGTAACGTCATAGGCTGAGATAATGAATTGGACTCAAGCATAGGCTTTGCAACACAAAAGGATTGGAATTGCTCCATATACCAGAAAAAAAAACGAATTAAAGATTCGTTTCGCAGGCGCACACCATTTAAAATTAGCACGTCTCACCATAGTTTTGTATCATTTCAGTTGTGTTTTGGTGGCAATTTGCTTCACTTTTTATGATGTGTGTTAAATTTTGCTTTGAAGAAATTCTCATAATGAACATAATATTAACTTCGCTTAGGCTCATGATATTTAAATAAAAGGCACAAAATGGAAATAGCACAATATGATTTATGAACACAATATAGCAGATTTTGAAGGCACTTAACGAAGGTTTTAACTTAAAGAATAAGGGAGTGGGTAGAATGACAAAAATATGGAGCATCCTGGATTCACACGGAATTTAGTTAAAATAAAAAATTTGACAAAACTTTCGTTGGATAGTTAGAAGTTGGATAATCAACAGCTTTTCTCATCAAATTTACTGAAATTCATATTCAAATTCAAACTAAAATGTAAAATTAAGGAATTTGACTTTTTTTTCGCATCATAATTTGGATAATCAATTCTTTTACTGATCAAATTTTGACTTTTCGAAATAAATTACGGCAAAATTTACTGATTTTTATAATGAGGGAGATTAAAGAAAAAAAATTTGAAAAGTTCGAAATTTTTTTTTAACATTTTTTGGATAATCAACTGTCTTCTAATCATAACTTTTGCATGATATATATCAAAATTTACAAAAAATTCTTGATCTTGACAAATTTTTTAATCAGGATAACCAACTATTTTTTTTGTCAAACTGATCTTGCTGGGAAATCCATTATATTCCGGAATGAAGTCATAACCAGAAGAAAAACTATTGAACAGATGAAACAGATATGAAAACGTATAAGCACTTTGTGGAACATTGTTTTTTTCAAAGAATTGCGTAAAAAAAAAATCTCGCATTTTACATTCTAAAGACCATCCCAATCAATACCAGTGTTCCCAATCGAATTTAATTCTAAAGAATCGATCAAATCAAACTCGTTATTTCCCAGACCCTCCCCAGAAAGATTATAGGGGTTTCCTCCTGATTCTTGTCCCAAAATTGAACCCACAGAGCTGTGGATCGAGGCTCTTTGCTGTTGTTGCAAACTCATGGGTGAGGGGGGAGCATGATACGGGGAAGTTAACGTCAAATCAAGCCATCCTAGCTCGTCTACCTGCATAGTGTGGTCCATACCAGAAGTGTTATCGGATAAAAGTTCTTGAGATGACGATTTTACTAAATTGTTACGTTGGGGGGAAGCCCCTGCTAGCGCTTGTCCATAGTGTCGTAAGTACGATGCCGTGTTGGATGGCATGCTCACAGAATCGAGGCATTTATCAAGAGACGGCTCGGAATCATGAATAGACGACGATGATAAATGTGGATCACGGATTCGTTCCTCGAACATTCCGCTGTTCCGAGGAATATCAGACGATCCAGTGTCCATGGGTGAAAACGGTTGGGTAGTGTAGGGGTCATTCATGTTTAAAAACCCGCTTGGGTGACTTTTATGACTTTCATCCAGTTGCTTCCCAACAGAATTGGTATGCTGGAGAATCGGATCTATTGTTACCGCGTCAGGTGAAATACAATTTGGGTTATTCATTCGGCTTTGAATATTCGAAGGAGGACCACGCGTTGCGTCCATTAAAATATCACCCGCACTACTAACAAGTAGACTTGTAAAATCAGTTTGATTTTCAGCGAAAAGGGGAGTTAGACCAGTATGGTTACCAACATGGAATGATAATATGTCCCCAGTATGTCTATTTTGGTAGCTGGATTCTAAAATATCCCCTGAATGTCGCCTTTGAAGGTTTGGATCCTTATGAAACCCTTGTGAAGCATCAGCAAGGGGAACGAGAGTCGGGAGTTCCAGCGAACGCCTATGCTGTTGCATGGTGTCAAGTTCGTTGCATGAAATCGCCCGATGTAAATGTTCCAAACTTCGTCGATTAGCGGCTGCTGCGTCTGTAGTGTGCGTATTGTGTTGTTGTTGTGCTTGATTGTAATGATAATGCATCGTGGCGTGCTGTGGTTGGCGGTGATCAATTACTGCTGACTGTGGAAAGTTTTTCTGTCTTGTTGGAGTGAGTGGAATTTCTGGAAGAACAAATAGTTACTTCGTTAGAACAGAATTAAAATAGATAACTCAAACTGAAGCAGTTTAGTGAAATGGCAATGAGCTTAGTTCAGAAGGGTTGAAAATGACCAAACTAATAATAAGGGCTACCATTTGACAGGTTCCCAAAGAGAGTAAATGATACGTAGCATAAAATCTGGAGTCATTGTCTTGAATCAGGCATGAGTGTATATTTCTTAATTCAGAGCTAATAGGTCTAGTAGTCAGCACGGTAGTTCTGATTATGTAGATGATTTAGAGGAAGGATGTGAGATCACCACCGTAAGGCTGTCCAAGCGAACCGAATATTCGAAATCGAATCGAATCGCAAATTATTCGAAGCGTTGTGAGTTGATGGCTGTTGTACAGCAACAATATGGTCATCAAATATTAATGTCATCAAACTAGCTCTGAATTTGTGAGTTCCCGAAAGGCAATTTTGAATTTTTTGGGCAACAATTATATCCATATTAACAGTTGTTTATCATTTTACTGAAAATTACACAAAAAATATTGAGTTAATAATACTAATAGGACTAAAATAGCAACTACGAGCATTAAAAGAGTCTGTGCAATTTCCAACTCTCAAAACTTGATAGTTTTCGAAACTCTCTTTCCCTACCTCCTTTATTGACCAATAATTCTAGAATATCATCCATATCATCCGAGTTAGCGATGTCACCACCCACACCACTAGCGGGCGATCCCATCATGTTTTCTTGACTTCCGAAACTTTGATGACTGAGACGACGTTTCTCCTCATTTAACATCTTAATTAGAAATGATATGTTACACATTGCGCCAATGACAGTTTTAGAGCTTACAATAATGGAATAGACCTAAAACCTAATAGGTGAAATCTATCATGACTTTCAGAAATTTAGAATTTTATCCTCATCGAGAAGCAATACTTCTAGGCAGTACTTGATTATTAACTTGATTATTAAAAATCCATGGGTCGACTGATAATAATTATTGGAAAAAAACAAATTGGGAAAACGAGACTCTGCTCCGAAATCTGCCTCACACTTTTGTCGACCCACCTAAAATAAGTGCCCATGAGGGGACTAAGGACCGGGCAGTTTCCAGAAACACCCGGCAGGGTGATTCCATTGAAACGGAAATCAAACATCCAAAAATACAACTTCTTAACATTGCTTGCATACCTGTATAGCTTGATCATATTTAGGTGGATCTTTGCTTTCAGACAAACTTCTCTTTTCAACCGGTTGATTTACGCTAAGAATTATAGGAGCATCATCTTGTTGACTGTGAACAGTGGGAGAACTGCAGAAATGTATAAAAATAATTTTAATTCGACTCCATAATCAGCACAACAGATAATAAAACAATTGATCAAAACAAATGAATAAAAATTGAATAAGAATTAGGAAAGCTGACAAAACTCTAACAAAAACATTTAGGATGTTGTGTTAAAATAAGGCAGCTGTTATTTAAACCAACTATGCGACAACAAGAAGTTCATCGATTCACAGTTATCCCTCTCATGCTTGCAGGATTAAATGTATTATATAACGTACAAGGCGGGCACTTACTTATCAGCAGACTTGAGAGGCACCAATGATACATTAGGAGGCATTGTGTTGGATGTGAAACTGAAAACATTGTCTGGAAGTTGAACTGGTGGTTCTTGCTTGATTAATGTAGCCTGAAAAGATTTGAGAGGAATAAAAAAAAAAGTCATGACGTCCATTAAATCTTTATATAATAAACAAGAGAGCAATAGCTTGGGCATTGGTACCCGTTTTTGCATGTTTTAGCAGGGTTGTGTGTGTTTATCACAGCTTTTGCACAGTTGAGAATTGTTATTATGGGCTTTTGAAGGTATTCCACAGTTTTTGCACTTTTCTACAAGATTTTTACATATTTATGGTTTGTCTTCGTTTTTCACAGTTTTCGCACTCTTTGGCAAGGCCTGAGAACACAATGTGGTGAAAAGATCAAGGAACAAGCAATACGCAATAAAAAGTGGCCCCATTAATAAAATAAAACATCACAATTTTTGATGAAACCTCATGAGACTTGAACAAAACAAACAAGGAATAGCCTCCTAGAAACTTCATCCATTTCTAAGTGGTGACAATTTGAAAATGATCGCTCCATTAGTTGCGAAAAAAAGATGATCCAGAGGTATGGTTTGTGTCCAATCATACAATACACTGTTGCTATCGGGGCTATGACCACGAAACCACAAAATAAACTTGAAATCACATTTTAATTCCTAAAAATGTGATACATTCACAAAATGTCATATAATTTCCCAAAAATATGACATTATTCTCAAAATCAGGGTTTAAAATAAACTTAAATTCATATTGTATTTCCTGAAAATATGTTACATTCTCATCTGCTGGGCTTAAAATAAACCTAAAATTACCATTTGTTGATTGAGTCCATTAATCATAGCAGGATCTTTATTGTTCAACCTATTTTGTAAATGTTTTTGTAACATTTGTGATATGTGTTGTCGCTTCATATTCTGTTCAGCCAAACTCATTCCGTCTTGTTGTTGGTCCTATGATATATTCAAAATATTACATATGAATGGATTGTTGGCATTCAAATGATTAATAAATGTATGTTAATCTGGTATGAAAACAGCTGCCCGAATATACACTACAAATTCATATCTCCGCTCTGCTCCAGAAGTATGTATACCAATATGGCGATAACTAATTTTGTTCGCCTGCTTTACATCAAGTTGTGTAAGGGGACTGATTACTATGGACAGGGGATATATTCACTTGTCTAACACAGACAGTCCCTGAATTGAAATATAATTAAAATAAGGAAGATTGGCATAAAATTATAGCATAACGGAAGTACCCGTTTGAAGACATGTCAATTCATTTAAAACTCGTTGAATCAGGAATCAGAAAGTCAAACTTAAACAGAATTGTGTCAATCCTAGTGGCAACGAACAAATACAGCAGAAAGCATACAAGGAAAAAGGACCCATAGTTTAATATACAAAACCCCCAGTAAAATTTCGAAATAATGAATAAAAATATCTTTCCAGAATGTACTTGAAAGTTTGATTCCTACTATCACTGGTAGAAACAAACATCCTTAGCAAAATTAATTAGAAAACTAATTTGTAAAATTCGAATTTAGACATTCATTTTTACATACAGATTACTTAAAAAATAATCTTAACATTTTATTTCTTCAATTTATGCAATTATTTAAATATTAAATAAAACATCTTCTTACAATTGCATTGGACCCAGTGTTGTTATTGGTCATATCATGCTGTTGAGATTTCCTCTCTTTCTCTTGAATTTGGCTTAGTTGAGTTCGATGTAATTCGACCATTCGTCTCAAATCTTCAATTTCTTTCTGTTGTTTATGAAGTAAATCATCTTTTATTTTCTCCGAGAAATCATACTGCTGTCCACTGCCACTTGAACCTTCAACTTTGAACTGGATGCCTGGTGCTGGCGCGATCACCCTTTGACCTGGCACAGCTGAATTCTGTAAAGGTTGGCTATTGGCAGTGGATTGTGGTGTGTTGACCTAAAAATTGATAATGAAAGTTGATTTTATAATGATAATTTGAATGGGTAATGTAAAAGTGCGTTACGTTACGCTGGACAGTTATGAGAATTGTTTCAAAGTTTAAGATGTAAAATTTTGTGAACTAGAGGCGTACCCTGAGAATTCAGTTAGACTTGGACCACTTATTTGGAGAATCATCCCAACCTGATTACTCAAATTCAGATGTGTTTGAGTTGTTAAAACAAGTCTTGTTTGGAGGAATCGAAGCATTAAAAATCTATTTCATAACTCATTAAAGTATTGAAAAAATTGTTCAGAAAACTATTTGACAATACATATATTAGGTTAGAAATGTAGTGTATTTGAGTATACTTGTCAAAAGCCCTTTTCAGAGTAATCAACCCATGAAAACTTGATTCATTACTAATAAAAGTATAAAAATTTAACTTACTGTATTAAATTGGAACTGGTTGGCAGTGGCAGAAGTTTGTTGCAGTTGTATATTTCCATTACCAACTGCACTGTTTACATTCATAGCCTGTGTCGTGCTAAATATTTGTACACCATTGGACGTCGGTGCGAAACGGAATGTGGATGGCTGTCCCTGCTGCATGTTGTTAGAATGGGATTCTTGGTTCTGAGTATCCATTGGTACTGTTGATACAGGTCGTGAGTCTTGTTTTGTTGTCACTACTTGGATGGCAAAACTTGGCGGCTGAAGAACCTGTCGAATAGATCAAAATATCAACCAATTTGAAATTCAAAATTTGTATATTTTGAATAAAGAATGGCAAAGTGATTTGCACAGACAGACATGTAAACAAATCGAACTCAAAAACTTTGTTTCGTGATTAAAAAGCGAACATACCGTGTATCCTCGGCCCTCACATATAAGCAGAGTTTAAAACTCCAAAAAGTTGCCAACTAATGGGACAGCTTATTTGCGCATACCTCTGATTACACTCAAACGCAATAACATTCGGTATGCCTATATGGGAATTTTTATAAAAATCACCATTTCAGGGCCGTTCTTAGGGGGTCGGCTTATATTCGAGGGCTGGTTCATATGCGAGATCGACTTATATGGATATTACGGTACACATTTACGAATTAATCGCTTTATTAAGCAAGAGAGCAAGGCTTAAATATAATGGGCAAGGTGATGTATTGAAAGTTTTCTTCTGAATCATTTTCGAAATTCATTTTGAGTGTATTACTTCATATATGACTCATTGATAACCAAATTCAAATAGAAATACCCCCTCTGCCCTATCCTAACACATGAAATACCATTCATACAAGACAGAAATGATCAGAGGTGGAAGTTCAATCACTATTATTGCCATAAACCGGTTTTTACCAGTAAAAACCCACCTGTTCTTGTTTCTGTTGTCCGGGTGGACTTCTTGTTCTGGCTTTCAATAACAAAGCTCCTGCAGCTCTGTGAAACGAAAATTATTTGGTTAGAATTTTTTAAAGCCATAATTATGGAAGTTTATGGATAGGTGATCGTCATAATGCTGTTAATAATATCTGAACATTGGCTGAGTTTTTCATTAAGTTTGGTTGAACATTCCGAAGTAACTATGTAAATTATGAGTTTCGAGAAGTAAGAATGATTGAAAGCTAAGTTTTGCATTTTAAACAAATTGACAATGCCGGTGATTCTGATTCTCTTTCAATAAGCCTTAAGACAGGCAGTCAAATAAATCAAATAGCACTGAACAACTTTGGATGTTTGTTTTTTCAATTTTTTCTATCTATCAACCATATTCATCTTACCCATTATTACTGACAGCTGCAGCGAGAGCTTGTTCTGTGTTGGCACGAATTGTACTTTGTATTGTTGCGTTTATTAAACCAGTTATACTTTCACTGATTGGCTGATTTGGCGGACTGTGAGAGTAAAGAAATCATTTTATTTAGCAAAAAAGGATTTTGAAAATTATTTTCTATTTCAGAGAAACTTAAATTATAAACCATTTTGATCTGAGAAATCACATATGTTTTTTTTTCAGTAATCAGTAATCAGTTTTTATCTTATCACCAGATTGGAAATACACATTTTACATACAAAATCAAAAAAAAAAATGAAAAGTTGCATTCGGCGATGAAAGGAGTCGCGATAAACCAGGAGTGGCTATCGAGCAGCGACAAATTTTCTTTTTATGAAAAATTCTTCATGACATGGTCACGAGCCAAAATCCGAAAAGACATGAAAAATTACTTTCAAGAACAAAGGTTGGAAATCGTGAATGTTTTTGTGATAAAAATTGAAAAGTAAATTGAAACTAACACTTCCGTATAACATGGCTAGGTTAACTTCTAAGGACAACTATAATTCTTGTAAGATTGGTGATAAAGGCTAAATTCAATAGAATCAAACTTACACAGGATTAGGACTTGGTATTGCATATCTTTTTAATCTCTCAACTAAAACTTCTTTGGTTCCTGTTACCTGTAATACATTGAACAAATTATTGGACAAAAGTTCTATTAAGCAGAAACGATGATTTTATTCCAAAGCTGTGTCAATCGTAAACTTTAATAACACTGACATTACAGTATTGTTAGCGATAATTCATTTTCCCTTCGATAGTATTGGATGTCAGAAAATCCTAAATTTTGCATTGCCACTTTTGATATGTTATATTGATTAATAGGTTATGTAGGATAAGAGTTTCGTATTAGCCTTATGTTAATAGTCGGTACGACAAATTAAATATATGGCTAACCACAATCTCTACGCTGATCCCCAGTTAACCTTATGACAGCAAGTAATCCAGAAACCCCTTCGCTCATAATTATCCTCCGCATGATTTTACCTTTGAGGAGTGGCAGTTAACTCAAGCTCTCCAATTTACCCAGAATATAAAAAATTAGTACGCTAAGCTGAATGGGAAAAATTCCGGCGCTGATCCATAACTAGTATTCCCACTACTATTAACAGATTGTTAGCGGAGAGCTTTATCCAAAATAAAAGCGGAAAAAATCAATAAAAATCCAAACCTTTTCTTTCCTGGCTTTCAGCTCTTCTTTCAATTCCGCAACTTTCATTTCTTCCAGTTGCTGAACAGTGAATGGTCGACGTTTCTTTTCAACTTTTGGTTGAATGTTAGTGGGGGGAGGGGGAGGAGGTGGGGGAACAAAATTTTTTGTGATAGTTTGCTGTTGATTGCTCGTCGACGGCCTGTGAATTGAATGAAATCTAAGAATACTCAATTGAATACATCCAACTCTCGGTGATTACTTGTTCAGAGCTATATTCAAAAAAATATTCAGAAGTGAACTTCTTAGATGTGGAATTGTTCGTTATGGATTTTGAAAAACTACACAAATTTAAAAACGATAGTTGGAAAAAATTTTCTCAAAGGCTGATCAGTTTGGAATAAAAAAAAAATTAACTATATGGTGAACAACAGCCTCTCATCCGGTTCCCAGTTCATTATCCGGTATGGGATTAGTTAGCGGGCTATTTGTTATATAGGCATGAATATGTAGGTGCATGGATAAAATCTACACATAGCTATTAGAATGTAGTCGGTTTTCGATATTAGTTGAGAGCTCGAGAAACCGCTTTGTAAAATTGGTGAGAAACTATTTCAGAGAAGTAACAAATCGCTTACTTTTGATTATTCATCAGTGATGGATAATGCTGATTCATGATTTGTAATTGTAGATATAATTGTTGTTGCTCAAGTAATCTTGAATAAGGTGAATCAATGTCTGGCATCGAATTTGACGGCTCCGTGCTTTTCCCTTGCTGCAATGAAGAAAAAAGTCAAACGATTACAGGTTGTTTGATTCCACATATGTGTTTAAGGACACCATGCAATCATTCTACAGGGCATCCATAACGTCCCTTTCCAATTTGAACTTTTTTATGAAGTCAGTTCTCAATATATCTTAACTGGGTTAGTTGTTTTTTGATCTGTAATGTTTAAGTATTTTTACTTTATTAAATTCATCTGTGCGGGCCAAAACAATATATGGTATCGATAAATTCCCTTTTCAATTTTGAGACTTTATGGACACCCTATATATCAATGTTGGGTGCCCATGTGAGGAATTTTTTTGAAAATCTACTCAAAGCAAGATCATGTACACTCACTCAGAAGCAAATGAGACTCATCTCTAAGCAATGTTGGGCGACCACAGAAATGCAAAGTGCTATTGAAATTATATATTGTTGTCATATATACTGCGTTCCCCAAAAAATAAGACTAGGTCCTATTTCAATTTTTTTTTCAAAAAATAACACTGGGTGCTTTTTGGGGGATGTCTTTTGTTCTCATTTATTGAAAACAAAATTACAAAGTAGAGAATTATGAAATTTTGCAAATATACAAAATATGGAAACAGATATCCATTCACTTAAAAATACCAGTTTTTGTTCAAAATCCCTGCAAGTGCAAATTATAGATTATTAATCATTTAAAACGTGTAGGAGAGATTTCTCGCTATCATCTAGGTCAAAAAAACTTTCGCGCTATCGACTAGGTCTTATTTTCTGGGAAAACACGGTAGTAGCAAATGACATGAGCACGAAATTTGAAGCAAGTCAAGTCATTATGGTCAGAAAAACAGCTATAAGCTAGTGATTTCTATAAAACTAAAGGGTGCTCCCGAAGTATGCAAACCAAGATGGCGGACATCGGAACGTAACATGGGTAACAGGTTAGGGTTAGACGATAATTTTTTTCCAATTTTCCCTATTTTAGTCCTATCATCAGTTCGAAGACTAGCCAAGAGCCTCCCGTAGTATTTATACCTAAAATTATGGCCTAACCCTAACCTAGTACACATATTACATTCCGATGTCCGCCATCTTGGTTCGCATACTTCGGGAGCCCCAACTAAAGTTCTTGATGAAACTTTTCAAAATGATGTAGAAAATATTCGGCAGAATTTAAGTCATTGATTGACCCTTGACCCTTGTTGGACTCGCGGTGTAAGAGCCCAAAGTAATACCAAAGACATACCTGATCCGGTGGAATGTACTGATGATATTTGAATTTCTTAAATTTTGGTTTTTCTTTCTTTTTTCGCATATTTCTCTGTGACAATGAAGATGGTGATATCTTGGAAGACTGAAAAGTAATAATACAAACATAAAAAGAGAGCTATGCTCAAATATATGGACACGTAGCGCCACCCAGTGGCAATAATTTTGATGACGTCATAGCGAAAAAAAAAGTAATAGCCTTCTGGAGAAAATTTTTATCTTTAACCACTGAAAATATCAAAGCAATTGGTCCAGTATTCGAAGAGAAAAGCGATTTTTTAAAAATGGAGACGGAGACAAATAACAATAACAACAAAATTTTGAAACGATCGTTATGGCCACTAAACGTGTCCAATAATGAAAATGAGTTAACTAAAGTTAGGTTTTAATAAGAAAACTATCTAAGTCTATATGCAAGTAATTTGCTAAAAGCAAATGTCACAAAAGTGACATTGTAAATTTATAGAACTTGAATTTGGTAATGGAGAATAGTTTAAATGGAGATTGTTCAGTTTTTTATATTCTCATTACACAATTGGAAATTTTAATTGTTTTATACAGGGTGTCCAAATATTTTGCTCAATTTTATAGAAATAGCAATTGGAAGTTAAATAAATTTTATTGTATGATAAATAAGAACTACAAGCACAATAAGAACCATTAATAAACAAAGACAAAAAAATTTGTAATTGTTATTACTAGAAATCCGAGCAAAATTTTTTGACATCCTGTACACTTTCATTTTTTTAAAACACAAGTTCCAACTACCTTACTACTAGATGATTGTCTGTATAAATAGGGGTGACCAGCAGTTGTATGTGTGGATGATCTTGCCATTTTACTTGATGAAGATGAAGATATTACCATGGATTCGTGCTTGCTCTAAAAAAGAAACAGGAAATAGAGAATCTTTGGTTCGCAAATATATTATGATAAATAAATCTCAACCGATATTATCTTTAGGCATCAATACCGATAGGCGATACCAATATATCAGCAAACTAGTGGCCGATAACCGATATCCCAAACCGCCACTGGCGGTTCAATTACGGCCGGTGAAATGATTCAATATCGTCCACTGAACTTTAACACTTGGTTTCTACTTTTTCGCCTTCTATCACAGTTAAAGCAAATGTATATTCGACCCAATTCAACTATAACCAGAATCTTAATTGTATGTACCGGTATTATGATTACAGGGAGGTCATGCCTCTGAATACACTTCCCTAACCCAGCCCTTGAATGTCCTTCCGCTTCTAATTTAGACCCCTGTCAATCAAGTTTGGAAACCACTGACCTCAAGTTTAACAGTAAATCTGACTTACCACTGTAATAGGAGCTGACAGACTGACATGGTTTGCCCAAGTAGAAGGCATTGTAGTGTTGGCCATAGAAGTTTGTTGAGAAAGAATTTGACTAGCAGGTGACAGTGAGGGGGCAAAAGTAGGGGGAGGGGAACCGAACGATGATGTGCCTTGGTCGTGAGATAAAGGGGGTTCAGGCGAGAAAGCATCGCTACTGTCTTCTTCTTGGAAATCGTCAACTTTCTTGTATTGCACATGACCACCTGGAATAAACGATATTTTATTGATAGCGGAAAATTTAGAAATGTTTCTTAGATAAAGTAAGACTTAAATCTTGAAGCCTCAATGAAAAAACTATCAAAATCATTGAAATTGGAAAACAGCTTCAGTACAGCTGGGCCTTTAAAAATGTTATATCAATACCCGATTTTTTTTTAAATCAGCTGTACCTTTTTGAATATATTATTTGACAGCCAGAAACACACCACAGTTTTCTACCTCAATATATTCTATTTGAATAATCTAAAAATATTTCATCAGCAAGCAAAATTCAAACTATAGAAATCCAAATTCAATTACCAGTATATATAAAACAGAAATTAGCAGAGTCATTATATTGCATAACAGCTGCTAAGCATGGGAACATAAGCATGCTAAGCATGGGCATATATACATAACTCAACATAAAGTTTTTTTTTCTGAAGTTAGTAGCAGATCACATTTTTTCGCGGATGTTGGATCAAAGGAAATTTAGCCCCAATTATGACTTCAAACTCCGAGCACCTTAAAAAGCTTTCCAAAATAACCAAATTGTAAAATTTAATTTTAAATCTAGCTACAACTATCAATTCTGGAGAGTTTAAAAAATACAACTCAGAATCCAATATCAAAAAAAGCGTACCAAACTCTGATCGTACGGCCCAGATTTTTTTTCTGTTTTTTATATAAAACTAACCACGCCATAAACCCACCTTTCAGAGCCTCAGTGACACTGTCATCAGCTGGTAGAATATTCTTCTCAACGAGTTCGAACACACCAGGTCGGAAAAATATTTTCTCGTTCAAATCATCAACGAGTTGAGCTTTCTTCAATTCTTTTTGATGAGCAACTAAGGAATCATGTGCACTTGTGTCTGAAAAAACATATATAGTTTTGAAAGATGTAAAACTATGGAATAATAACAAATTTAGTTATATCGATGATTAAATATAGTATCACGGATATTTGAACAGAGCCTTGTTCAGATCATTAAAGGAGGTTTTTGAGATTATCAAAATGAAACTTTTTTGAAGTTTTCCCATTTTTGCAAAGGAAAGTGTATGAAAAACAACAACATTCTTCCTGAACTATGCAATAAAATTATCGAGAGCATTATTTCTGATATTCGGTGAATTATTCAAGATTGCAAAATGCAAGGTAATAAACAAATCACCCACATTCTAAGATATCATCACAGCGGATTACAAGTTACAACGCATTCATAACATATATCAAACATGTCATGACACTGCTTTGATCTGTTGAAACATCAAATTATACACAAATATGAATTCCAACTTTTAAAAGCAAACACAGCAATCTTCACAAGTATATGCTTGAGCTATTCTACGTGGATTGAATCTTGAACATGATGGTGTTGATGTACATTGACCACTTTGTTGTTTACAAAACCTTAAGGGTGTGTGATGGATGCGTTACATGAATGCATTAACATGACTTTTGTAAGCCAAAATCAGGCCTTATTTATCTGTCGTATATACATAATGAAACAAAGAAAGCCTTGCTTAAATATATGGGCATAAAGATGGAATATCATATAAAAATGTTCCCATAGTTTAAAAAAAAAACGGCATATTTTGGGGTGAATCATTTGGTTGCATAGGACTATGGGTAACATGCTTATAGCTAATTCCCCCACTTTTGCTACTAACAATTTATGATCGATAGGTCCACTAGAAGCAAAGTGATTTCCTCGAAATGATTTCCTTCCAAAAATTGATATTTATTTATAATTATTAGAATTTGCAAAATTCAAGATTATAAAGGAAGATTTCAGAAATAATATTCTAACGGAAATGGAACTCTTATCATATTTAAATGAGAAGAACTAACGGGAATTAGTTTATTCCAAAAAATAGCCTTATTTATTCTAAATTATGGTGACCGTACATTTGAACCCATGTGTATATCCGCGGGTTCCATCTATATGTGGTGCTAAAACCCATGGGTTAGGGTTAGTATGGGTTCAAATAACCGCAAAACAAAAAAAATTCCATAGGTGCAATTGTCGTGGGTTCAAATGTACGTGGGTTCAAATGTACGGGAACCTTAATTATGAATCAATTCAGTCCGTTGAAAAATATACAACTTTTTTTAGCATTTTGATCAGATAATAATTATTTATTTTCAATTATTAACAATTTTCTCTCACCTTCCAAAATATGCTTTTGAATTAGTAAATCTCTTTCGGGCCTGTCTAGCATTTTCTTGTTGAGAAAATCACCAGTCCTCGCTCTCTCCAACTTTTGGATTTGTTCGAAGTACGCTGCTGGACTTTTCAATGCTGAAAGTAAATTAATATATGATATTTTTAGGACTTTACATGTAATCTTGAGAGAGAAGGCTTGTCTAAGTATGCGAATATTATAAAATTTGTTTTTGAAAACTCTTATGTTCAGCATAAGATGTTCAAAATAAATATAGCATTCCATAAAAAAATTTGTTGAACAATTTCAATTCATAGAACCCAGTTGCAAATTGAAATATAATTTCAAAGAAACCGGAAATCGGTTGGTAGTAACCTACACTAGACTTGAGAATATCAATTGCATGGATATAAAAAAACAGGAAATTGCAGAAAAGTGCCAGCCATGAATGTATTAAAATTCAATGGAAATGTTTCCAAATTAAATCATGACTATAAACATAGCTGAAATGCATTTGAAACGATGACATAGTTCATCCTGTACAGGTTAGCATATCCAAAACACAAAATTTTTGACAATTAATTTTGTCTAAATGCCACAAGTTAAAAGTTAAGTTTCACTAATTTTTTTTTCTAATGTGAAGCTAACCACAAACTTTTAGAAAGTACTAATTTAATATTGACAGTGACATGCCTTGTGGTCATGGTTACATTTCCGAGTGCAACATATACCAGACATTAGTCATTCAGGTTGTTTTATATTACTGTCCAATTATAGCAATTTATAAAGGTTAATTGTCATGCAGGGATGGCCAATTCGAATAAAGTATTCGAATGTATTCGAATATCTCGTCATTCGAATATCGGAATTCACGTTCATAAGAATATCGGATATTTGTGTGACGTCACACATTTTCGACGGCGCTTTCAAGACGTTTCCGCTGAATGAAAACATTCTCGATAGAAACTTGCGCGTGATCGTTTTTATCACTCATCAACGTAACGTGTTATTTAGGCCCGTAAACGCCTTTACGATTGTGTTATTTTCTCTAAAACGAAAATTTTCCACAAATTTGTTCCACGATCACGATAACATTTATTTTATTTTTGTACGCGCACGGAATTGTGAATCTGGTAAATACGTTTATCGGCGGCGAGTTTCTAAAGACAACGCAACTTTTTGATTGAAAAGCGGCAATTTAAAATACTGAAAATAAAACCGTAAACAACATAAGTTTTATTGAGGCCCGCGAAAATTTAAAAAACGCTTTTCTAGGCAGTGAAAATCGCAAAATTTCGTGTGCCTTTGGCACACATTATGTTTGGTCGGCGTTTAGAAACATATCGTTACTAATTGAGGGCGGGATTTGCCTGATTATCCATTACTTTAAATTGCCGTCGAATATTTTCGGGTTAACACGATACAAGGTTTGAAACGCGACTTTTTCCCTGGTTTCCCTGGTGAGGATGTATATAATATAATTAATCTAAAGTATATTCAATCAATTTTATTGTGATGAAATAAATTTTACTCTGAGATATTTTACTCTGAGCATTTCGATCGAGCGGAGTCACTGTTAACAAGTACATCTAAATATTTGCCGAATTAGCAAAATACGGATAAAAACAATATTTAATCGGACAGTTTACCTCACGTTTTTATTTTTATGGCCGCGGACTGCAATGGTATATAAGAGTGGTGAGGATTTTATTTTGTCGACGCAACCGCAGGTTAAATTGAAGACAATTAAATTATTAAGAGCAAGACATTTTAAATATGCCCGTGTCGGTCACGAATTCATCACTTTGCACAACAGAAAAATATATATTCGTTGTTATATTATTTGTTGTAAAAGTCGACTCTTTTAACAGGTGGCATAATCGCGGGGATGAATATGTATTTTTAATTTACTGCTAAACTTTATATGTATATTCATTGTATGAAATGAATTATTCTCTACACTTAACAGGATTTTATATAATTATTTGAGATTTTTCTAACGGCGATAACGAGTTGGCAAGATTGCAAAAATACATATTAAAATTAAATACATCAAGCAGTTTATCTCGTAATTTTAGGTCACAGATTGCCTTGGACCGAATAGTAATGTTTTTTTTTGACGTAAGAAGAAGCAACCGCGAGTTATGTTGGACACATTAAATTAATATATAAAGATATTTTAGAATCTCGTAGTTGTCATGGATTGAATATTTTACGTAACAGAATGATCATTATACGCTGACAAGACGGCACTTTTAACGAGCGCGGAATCGCGGTGGGTGTTACAGGCGGCAATGAAAATTTCCGATTTTGAAAATCCTGACTGCGCGCTGGCAGTGGTTGTCATCTATTCTCTACTAATTTATTTCTAACTCCAAACACAACAATATGTTACACATAATAACAATATGGTTCACATAAATTTATATACAAATATACTGGTAGGTAGTAGAATACTCTAGGCTTAAATATTAGAATTTTTAAAGGCATAATGGATTTTCGATTGTTGTTGCCTGTATTGCCAATAAATTTTATTACTCTCAGAAAATATACACAATTATCTGAATACAAGTAGTATTTTTGTCAATAGACTCGACTATTATCGTAATATCATGGTACCAATGATAGAAAGCGTCAGACAACTCCTTGGCTATCTTTTCATATGGTCATTTGTACAAAGTGAATAATTTCAATCAACTGACTGTGTCACAAGTTGCTATTATTTTTTATTAATAGCTATAAACTATCAATTACTCTGTGTACATATTATACTGTTGGTCTGTGGCTTCATTCTGATATTTCTATTGAAGCTTATTTCCTAATTTACTGGGTTTTAATCAACTAAAACAAAAATGTGTTATTTTCGATTTTAGAATGTATTCGGAATTCCAGATTCGAAAACATTATTTTAGAATGTATTCGGAATAGTTTAGTATTCGAAAATGGCCATCCCTGTTGTCATGCATACCTTTCAATTTTTGGATGAATTATGGGTATAGCATATTTTATAACAGCAAACGAAATTGCAGTCATTCCTTGAGGCAATGAAATGAAATCTTTATAGGCTCGCTCAAAATAGGAGAAGGAATTAATTTATTATGATAAAGTTATAAGCTAGATGGAATTTGAATTAAAAACAATTGAGTGATGAAACAGCCTGCTGTAGTTGAATGAATGTGGAATCAGCGTTCATCATATAATATTTCAACAACACTTTCTATACGCCCTTTTCACACATTTCACTCTAAACAGGCGCTGTAAGAGCAGTCATTCACATATGCAAAGGGTTACTCTATTTGGAAAGACGAGGAATCTTTTCCCAACAACAAAAATTGAAGATGGTGAAGCGGGCCCCTGGTCCCGAAACTTTGCCCACCTAGGCAGGCCATGTAAGTGTGACGTTAAAAGTTACATTTATGAACAATATTTACAGTGTTAGAAAGGCAAAAGTTGAAAACGGGCTGGATTTAGCAGGCGGGCCATAGCTTGCCCATGTCAGTGTTAAAGGTATACCTACTACTATAGGATTAAAAAATGATTATATTGACTTTTATCACATTTAATAAAAGAGTCAGCTAAACTGGAAAATGTGAACATTGTATTCGTTATCTTGAATATATGTAGTATGGTTTGTCAATAACACCTGTGTGAACATGAAGTCTTTTCTCCATAAGACTACCTTATCAGATACCGAGATAAAAGTTTGTTTTTGTGAGAGATCAATCAACATCATAGGTTTAAAGTTGAAGATGGTTGAGGTAAAGTTGATTGGTGAGATTGTGGTAGTATACAATTTTTTAGTTGGTTTGAGGTACAGACATTTCATATTATTAATTATGACGAAGCAATGAATAAACACGTTAATTTATATTTAGCCTTATGAATAATGATGGGAAAATTAGAACCACAGATATAAGTCGAGCTCATTTCCGATGTGGTAAGAAAAATTATCGCATTCACGAAAATAATAGGTAACTAATATGACATTTGTGTTAGTGTGCAGCAGGACTATTGAATAGGATAAAATGCAATATGTTGTGAATGAAGTGAAAAATAAAGTTGGAGTCGTAAAACAATTTAACCTAAGGGAAATATTTGATTTAACCAATTGAATACACTTTTAACTGTATTTATGACTTTATTTAACATAATAAAAGAATTCAATTGACAGCACTAATATTGAGGCTGTCTAGGGTCAGAGTCACATTTTTCTTAGAAAAGTACAACAAAATTCAACTTAGGCCATTGAGTCAACTTTTTCGGGCTTATGAAATTGTGTAAAAATAATTGGATTGCCTTTTACATGACCTGTGAATTGAAATAGACTCGAGACCTGAACTCAAATCAATTGCAAAAATAAAACTCGTCTTGAATCAAATTTGTTTCTAGTGAGACTATCACAGACTAAATACATGGCACAACAGGTACCTTTCATAAGCAAAATTAGTCAATGATGACACATTGTTTATTCAAAAACTTATCTCTTTCTATTATCAGAAAAAAAATCAACTAAAACCGTTGTGTGTAAACATCATATCAATCAATTTAGAGTCAATGAACTCAAAAACAACAATTCCAACTTACATATACAGGGTAAAATATGAATTTCAATTCATCAACTTGATAGGTAGAATGCTCAGAGCTAAGCCTTGTAACTGCTACCAACACATGAGAAACGCATTAACATGATATGGGGCCACCCAGGTAATAAGTCAGATATAAAATAGGTTTTACATTTCTGTTAGCTTCAATTAAAGAACGCTATTGAAAAATATTCAAATTGAAACTTTGATTTTGATACGAGGTTTTCAATTATAGCAGAAATTTACAGTAAGAAAAAATATTGAAAAAAGAGTTGGCATTTTGGAGTGACCACCCAACGAGTCTATATATTTAAAAAATATAAATGAGGCTTCAAAAGTTTCCTTTTCATCAGAATAAAACCAGATTTTGGTTTACGCAGAATTGTGGTATTTATTTTCTTTGAAATATAAATTTTTACAATGAATCAAGGAGTGAAAATAAAGATGTAAGATTGTGTTTAATTTATTCCTGCATGCAAATTTTTTTTTCTGAAATATTGTGAGGTCCAAAAAAGATATCACCACAGAAAAAAACAAAATGATTTTTTTTTTATCTTCTATCATTATGGACCAGGGGCTATCTTTTCATCTCGGTTTCAAAGCTGTACATGTTTGATTTTAGTTAGTGAATTATCATAACTTTTTGAACAGATCAGAAAACTAAATGTCAAGTATGATAGGTTTAGAGGTCTGAATATCATACTGAAACATAAAAGAAAGTACTGAAAGACTGGTCACAAAAAGGATAATTGCAAGCAAAATGCCACATCACATTTAGGACAAAATTTTCCCCTAGTAGTTAGTCATGAAAAATTATCCCCCATTGTGCTGTTTGCAAACGTTTTAAAATAGACAAAAAGCAGAGCTTGAAGACTTTTATTAGTCAATATAAAAATTTAAACACAAAAAAGGCTGATGTAATCTATCTCCAGTCATTTTTTTGGCTGTAAATCGAGATTGAATCGCAGTACAGATAATTGTTTGTTCTCCTTGGTTGTTAGTCATGAAAAAGTATCTTTCATTGTGATGAAACATGTTGATGAAAGAGACAACAAGCAGAGTTTTAAGACTTCTATTAGTCAATATAAAAATTTTAACACAAAAAATGCTCATGTGATATATTTCTATGTAATTTTCTTTTTGGAAGTAAATGCATGTCTACAGTATGAATAATTGTTGATCCCTATTTGTGATGTAGCCCCCCCCCCCCCCCCCCCCCCCCCCACCACACACTACAGAAATATTGCAATGTGTTGGTAGAGAATGGTCATGAATGCACCCAAGCAAATACTGTCAAATATGGCAATTTGTTTTATTATGTTTTTACAGTCCTATCTTGCAAATACTTTATGATAAAACATTTGATTAAATAGATTTAATATTCATTCCTTTATCGGAGTATACTCTCTGTCCAGAACTTTGGGAAGTATGATAGTAATGAACTGAAAGTAGCCCCGAAGGATGCTTAAGCACAACTTTTGTCACGTCATGAAAAACTTGAAAGTAGTTTATGTCATAACATTGCATATTATGGCATTTAAAAGTTCAAAACCCAAGTCAAAACATACTTACCATTAAAAATAATGATGAGATTAGTGCGATAAATAGTTACCCTTAAGTATCTTAAAAATATTTTCAACGTAAAGGGAAGAAATTGGAAATTTTTATATCTATGCTGACTTTATTTAGCAATTTTTTGATTGAGATTTACTTCCGATAAAATTTTTAATATACCTTTACAATAGGTGGTTTTCCAATTTTGAAATAAAAATAGTTATTCATCGATGTCCCAATTTACATAACACTAAATATAACCTAACATACACATCATCCATCTATTTATTTTGACATAACATTCCACTGCTGTATGTCATAATATATGTAAAGGAACCCATAACATGAGTCAAAGTCACGCCTGTACATCACAAATCAAAGTTTACGTGATGCAACCGCAAAGATGTTGAGAGTCATTGGCGCTTAATAAACCAAAGCATTAAATATGTGTGAATTGATTTAATACTTTTAGGTGAGTGAACAAGTACCATTTCTTTTGGCAAAACCATCTAATTTAAATTCTGTACGCTTTACACCTTAATTAAGGTTTTGTTTGCTCACCTGATATAAATAATCAGTTTTTCTTTATCAGTTTTTATCCATTATGTTATTGTCTTTCATGCTGATAATGGAGTCAGAATAAATTAATTTTAATAAATATTTGTGAGAATTCTGTAACACCAAATGTTGCATAGGCATAGTTACTTATAAACTACAATGGCGATGCGAAGAGTGGCCATTGACAATTTCAAAAAGAAACTAGAGAATAATATACAATCAAAGGTGGACCATAGGACCATTGTGCATTATGTTTAGAAAGAGGAAAATTTTGCTCATTTTCATATAAACTGAATTTTAGAATACAGCCTGAATTCAGTTAGACTATGGTGTCTTTCTCATTGAATTTTGAATGAATACTTGTTAAGGCCACACAGGAAATCTTGCTTATTTTATTTTTGGTCGGTCTGCTTATCCCACATTTGTAATGCTTGTATCATACTTGTCCTGTTTGTCCCATACTTTAATTTGGACCATCTATGGTTGCTCTACTGCTTTTATTTTCAAGTTGTTCTCTATAATGTTCGGTTATCTTTAGTGGACATTGGGTAAAGTAAAATTCAAATCATAACAGGATAACCGGAAATCTCACTGGGTAAGCACCTACATTGAACACAATTTTCCATCAAACATCACCATTAGTCAGTACATATTTCAAGTAAAGTAATGCCTGATGCATATTTGCTTATATTATGCTAGGATTCACTTGATAGATATTGAATAAACCAACTTCACAGTTTACACCAAAATTCCCAACACAAATGTCTATCAGATTAGAGACGAAACAAAATTGAAAATGCTCTATAAGATATTCTCGAATATATTAGAAGAGAAATTTGATGATTTTCCACCTTTGCTGTCAAAATTTGAATTCTTTCCAATAAGAACTATTACCTTGGAAACGAGACAAAGTATTTGCTTCGGCCAACTTTGAATAGGTCTCATATCAACTGCTATTTGCAGGTGTGTAATGTGCAACAATAAATTGCTATAATTCCCAAGTTCTTGACATCTCATTGGTTACATGTAACTCTGTTCAGAGACGAGTCTCCTTAACTTTTATATCTTGGCTTTGAGTAATTTCTATGCACCATGATAAATTTTCTAGTAGCTCTCGTTATTTGAAAAAGAGTCTCTTTTACTTCTGAGTGAGTGCATCTGACATTGCTTTGAATTAATTCTCTTGAAAAAGTGTCAAGTTTTATGTTTAAGTGAAATTACAAAAATCTCGAAAACTTACGTGGAATGATTCCTTGATCTGCCAGCACTTTTCTTGTTCTTCTTTGTTGAAGACGAAGCGCCAGTGCTGAAAAAAGAAGAATATTCATAAATAACATAACGAGGTATATTGTTAAAAATCAAGAAATACAATGATTCATAAGCCAATAGTATGCTTGCTCGTTATGAATTTGAATCGTTGTATATACTATATCTGTCATTTGCAGTTTATTTTCGTAGAGTAGAGTAAATAATAATGATAATGTGAACGAAAGCGACCAAAATTTGAATTTGCTATAATTATATCAACAGTCGAAACATTTGATTTGCTTTCGAACTGAAGTATTTTCACACTCATTGCCTTGTGCAGAATGAATGATATATACGAATAAATGAGTCTTAATAAGGAGTCTTCAATAAAAAACACCCTAGTAAAGTCTGTTTATTTCTGATAACACAACAAACTTAATCGATTAAAAAAAAATTAAAAAATTTGGATACCTAATCAGACGACTGATGAAGCAAAGTGTGACATTACATATGTACGAGACTTTCTGTAAATTACAATGTTGGTTCTCCAACCACAATCAATAAGGGGCAAAATACCTGTATATTAACCAAATAATAGATTTCTCTTTCAATATAGTGCAAGTATACAATACATGTTGAAGGCAAATTAAACAAAAATCTTTTCAAAAAATTAGTGTTAAACAATGCAGTTGTGTTGCAATATAATAGACAATGACATGATGTAGGATGCACTGCAGTATCGGAATGAGTAATATCACGAAAAATAATGTAATGCGTCGTTGCGAGTCTCACATATGCAGAATATTATTCATTTTGACATACAGACCCATAGTAAGTTTTAAATTCAAAAGTAATAGTTATAAATTAAAAGCATTTGGAGAACATATAATTTGATCACGATTAACTTATATTACTTATATTCTTATTTTGAGTAAGATATAGTATGCAAAATGTAGAAAATTCGAAGCTTTACACTAAAAATTGCGAAAACACTATCCTATGCAGATAGGTCACACCAATGGATAGTTAAAACTTAAAACCATGATTTTAGCATAAATTTTGGTTAAAAAAAGTGCTACCTTTGCACATGTATATACAGAACGTACCTGTATCAATTCAACCTAAAATGACTGACATAAGTTCAACAACATTTTGTTACGATTCAGTTATACAGGCAAATTCATCATTTTCATTACACAAATTAAAAAAAAAATTTGCATAGTTCAAATAAAAAAAATGATAAAATGACTACCTGGCTTCTGTTTAAGCAATTCTAATCCACTTTGCACTAACGAATGTTTCTTCAGTAATGAATTAATCAAATTACTTAAAGCTGTTACATCAACCTTATGTTTAACCTCAATAGGGCTTGGAGGGGGGCACGGAAGCTTAGTTGGGGTTTCGGGGGAGCTAGGAGCCTTCGGGCTGCCAAGCTGATCACTGCTAGGGGACGTCGGGCATAAAAATCCATTGACTACATCCTCTGAAGTTTCACTCATTGGACTTGGCTGGCTTGAACACTCAGATTCTGAGCTGGAACAATTACTCCCAGTGCTAGATGAACGACCGAGTTTTCGAGTACTTTCTGTTTCGTCGCTTTCAGATTGTCGTTTGAGACTAATGTGACAATTCTGCAATGCGATTGGTCTCTGGAATTCTACTTCCCCAGGCATTTTATCTCCCGATCGTTCTCCATGAAATTTCCAGACTTTTTGTCCATAGGTATAACACATAAATGTCCCACTACTGCAATTGACAATGCTTTTTTGATTCATCTTCGAATCTATTTGGTTGTATTAACATGCAGTTTTTCCAAAACCTATTCTCTCTTATTTACAAATATGTATGTCTATATATCACAGAAAGCATAATATCGGATTAAGCGAATAATATACCTTATGCCTTATTAATACCTTATGCCTATTTCCATATTTTGTTGGTAATATTTTGATTATACTTTATTACAATGTTCTCAGTATTTAGAAGTGGGTGTGATTGTGTACGCCTCACTCAAATCAAAAAATTCAACTAATCCAAAACACATGTACATCATAGCAGATTCTCATAACATTGCTTTCGCATTATGTAAGAGGTGCAGAATGTCCCGAATTTTTTTCTAAACATCCCTCCTGGTAGACAAAACTAACCAGTTGAAAGATAATATCTCTACCTTTTTAACATCACTCAAGACTCGCCTAGGACTTGAGTTTTTTGTAACAATGCTGTACAACAAAGTAATGCAACTACTGATTCTATATCAGCACTGCCTGCTCTGATATTAAAGAATTCTGTGTTGAAATTTCTTAGGAATAATAATATATTTAATCTTATTAAAAGCTATCTGTAACCACATGTTATCTATGCAATGTTAATAACATGTTTGCCATTCCAATATGTAATTAAATGCCACATTTTTTAATAATGACGCATGAGTATCTCATATGCTTTTTGTATGAGCAAGAATTTATATAATTCCGAATTAAATGGCATTTTCAAGTATTTCAACTACCCGTAGGTTTAAATGCAAATCAAAGTTCGAAGTATTAGAGATATTGTATATAAATGAAGGTTTTTAACGTAAAGATAATTTACTATGGCAGGAAAATAAGGTCATACAATTCTATTTTTTATATACTACAATACGAATGAATTATGCCCTAACCCTAACTTGGTACACACACTACGGGAGTACCAATATTAAACTCAAGGTATAACAGTATTTCACTACAACACTGTTCAACAACTTTTTTGGATAGCAATATTTTGAAATTTGCTGTACTATTCCTCGTTATGACTGCGCAATAGCCTTTCACTGGCCCTGAATATAAAATACATTAACAACATCCCCTTCATTATCATGAATACACTTTCATTTACATTCACAACAAATTACTAAAAATAAAACATGTAATGAAACTCAAAATAGACGACTATGCAATATGACATAATAATCCATATTTAACAATTACTGCTTTTTTTTCTAAATATAAAAAAACGCCCAATTTCATTGAAACAGCCTACATTTACAAAAAATTCAGTGACCAATGGCAGCTGTGTTTTTAGTCAAACATTCAATTTCCCATTTTAAAATTTTTGAGTATTCTACGAAAAACATGCCCACATCTGCCAACAACCTAAAAACCACTATCAGGTAAAAACAATACTCAATAATATCGGAGCAAAGTTAAGTAAAAACGTTAAACATCACCGCGTTTCCGGATCAAGAACAAAACTTGAAGTTATCGTCAGACGAATCACAATTCCATTCGAGCAAGTGACGCTGTGGCTGCCGGCTTAATTAAACAAACAAAAGCTTTATGCTTTACCAAGCAAGGGGCATGTATTTTATGCTCGATTTATCCAACGCATGTACTTGTTTTCACATAAACGCGCCACTTCTATCAATTGCACTACTTTCTTCACACGTACTAGTTAAATGACAGTAATTGGCAGTTGTAGTTGGTTTGTAATTGCATTGAAAAAATACAGACCAAGACAGCGAAAGAGTAACTATGACTATAGCATAGCGTATTCATACTCTCGTCTGCGGAAATAGAAATGCATTTCTCATTTTTTTATATATCTAAAGCAGAAATCTTTATGAACCGTCCATCAAACCAATGTCATATATGTTTAATAAGTGATTTAATAAGTGAAAAGGGTACTGAATTTGGCTATTTTTCTGCTATTCTCTTGAGCACCCCGCCCCCGATCAAGAAAAAATTCTAGACGACTCAAGTGGATTCCGCCGCTACCTAAAACGACTTCTTTCAAGCTATTCTTAGACATGCCAAAGACTCACTTAAGTTTAATATCATCTTATGAAGAAACGCTCTGTGACTTTTGATTACATTTTTAGACTAAAATATATAGTCACAAGTTTCACCAATACGAAAGACTAAATATCCAGTGGTCAGGCGACCAACAATTTACTAACGGATGACCAAATTACCGATTACCAAATCAGAACGAGATCAGTAATATTCAAAAACATTTTTTCTGAAAGCCCTTTCAGAATCGAATATCAACACTAGCGCACTTTTAAAAAGTCCATTTTACAAGAAATTGTGATTTTATTGAAATTTAAACGTAAAATATGACACATGTTGCAATTCAACTGTCAGAATCAGATACAATGACTACGAGTTTAAAACGCGAATTACCAGACTGGACTGCAGATCGAAATCATTCGGAAAATAACGGATATACTTTATACTCTGCTAGAAGCAAATACGGAAATAGATTCATGAAAATATTTCCATACATAAGCGCGAGAGGTAACAATATTTTCTTTTGACTTTTTTTTTGTTACAGTCCGTCTTTGAAGTCATCCTAGAAAGAGCCGTATTTCGGTATATTGTCATCGCCCCGATATCTATATTTTTGTCTATCCGTAAACTCTATACCGCACTGGTATTAAAATCGATCATTTGATATATTACGACTATCGCCTTCCTATCCCACGCCAGCTCAATATACTTCCAACTTTCCAATAAAAGTCTGCAAACTCCCCGTTCATTAGACATGACCAACTGTCATCATGTCGTCTGGTTCAATCTATTAGAAAATTAAGTTTGGAAAAAATTCAAACACTTTTCGAAAGTTTAAAATCAAATGAATTAATTAGATTCGAGAGAATTGATCTCGAGTATAAAGTCTAGTGTTGAAAGTGATTTAGTCAGCTTACCATAATCTCATTGACGAACAAAAATACAAAAAAAAGTGCTTTCTCATTTATCATTACTACAATTGTCACAAGTCCAATTTAGATGGTGATTAACAATACTTTTAACGATTTTGAAACGACAACAAAAACTTTTAGAAAAATAATTTGACTATATAAATTTATAACTTATTAGGTTAACGTTTTTGGCCGTCGAAGGCATTTTACACACAGCACAAGCTAAGGTATTACACTAGTTAATGTTGCGGTGTACGTAAAAATATATACTAGACCACAGTATTTTATTCTGTGACTACAATACATAATAGAATTTAGCACACATGACTGTCATTCACGAATAACATTAAATAATACAGACTAGCAAATTCGAAACG